CCATAGGAGTCATCAAACACTGTGCGCTTATGTACCCACACAGGGCCAGGGCTTGGAACACAAGCCCAGTTCTTGGCTTATGTCCCTCACAAGCTGCTGAATTCACAGCTGCACTTGTGGTTTTCAGAGAACCCACCTATTCCTCACCCATCCTTTTCTTCAACCACAGTAGTTCTTTATACATTAGCCTCCCATTAAAAGTTTCATTGGAATAAAAGATTCCTTGACCTAAAAAAAAATAAAAGTGCATTTGGAACTCTCTACTCTACTCTTATTTAATCAACTAGATGGAGTTGAGTGGCATCCACTCACAAATTTTAAATGAACTCACGGGTAAAACTATCAGCCAAAATGTTCCCCAATATAATGTGTTATAATTGTATGCCATCATCATCATCTGTTTTGAAAATTTCCTGTCAAACTTTCCTACACTTTAGCACACTGAATTCCCTAAGTGGGTTTGAGTTCTTAACTTTTGATGGTAGGGTATAACCACATCCCAGTTAGGCACTGGGGGACTGTTTTCCTTTAGGCCACTTTGACTGTAATCAAGTGGTCTAGTTATTTTCTCCAAATTCTGATTTAGAGCTAGAATAAGAACTATTGGAGAATTTGTTTAAAACGAACAGTCAGGCCCCACTTCCAGAAAACATGATTCTACAAAAGTGAGTGGGATTTTATGTTTTTAATTTCACTATTCTTGTCTGGAGAATTCCATGGACAAAGGAACCTGGTCGGCTACAGTCCATGGGGTCGCAGAGTAGCACATGATTGAGCGACTAAACACTTTCATTTTCACTTCTCAATGAGCGGCCCAGGTGTCTTCTAGATTGACAAACACTTTGGGGAGACAAAGGTTCTAGCCTTGGTGAGGGAGGCGCAGAATACTGTTAGATCTCAAGGAGACCTTGGGCCTCTCTCTTAGCACATTTTCATAATCTACCATTTATATACTCTCTTTCACCCACTAGATTTGAAGACCCTTTCTGAAACGTAACTTGCCAGTTTGTGTCTACAGGCTCAAGGCAATTGTCTATGTCCAATAAATGTCTGGCATTAGAGTAATTAATAAAACAAAGAACAGCAATAATTCATCAGATTCTGATCCTATTGGGTTAGAAGCTTTTTTTCTCCATCAATAGATTATTCGTAATAAACCTGCTATTAGAGTTTATGTGATTTTTCTCTTGTGAGAGTCAATTAAGCTAAACAATTAGGATTAGCTTTAAGAAAAAAAAAATTCTTACAGTACTTTTGAGTTTTAAGAGTGCTCCATGAAGTAAACAGGATAAGAATAGTTCTCCAGCTGTTTTAGTTGAGGACACAGGCCAAGGAGGGATAAAATGACTAGCAAGTACACACAATTTTTAGTCTTTGCACAGTCAAGAATGCAGTGTGTTTTAGTGAAAATACATACTCTTTATTGCTGTGCCTGAACTGGAGCTCTGCCATTCACTAGCTGTGTAATCTTGAACAAATTATTTAAATTTTCTGAGCCTGTATTTTTTTGTGCAGGTACACTATGCACAGGGACAAACAGCAGGCTTGTCTGAAGGAGTAAATGTGTCTAGGAGAGTGTGGGCACATCAACCCAGGGAGAGTGACCTAGAGACTACAAACTGGGAAACAAAAACGGAGTTTCCATTTAAATATAAGATAGAACACTATACATATGTGTTTCTCTGTATAATAAAACAAAACTAATACATCTCTTTATTCTGAAATTTTTCTAGCAAGCAAAGATGGTAAAGACAAATTAATCACGTGTGAATTTAATCTGTATAAAACATTCCTACGTATTGTGAGCTCCTTAATTTTTATATTGGCAACTCTGTAATAATTAATAGATACTATAAGTTCACCCAACCCTATTTTTTCCACAGGGATTGAAAGCCCTCAGATGTGAATTCTCTTAATATGATTTTCGTTTCAAGGCTCATCACCCTCTGGGTTGGGAAAAGACCTCATGAGAAGAGTAAACAGAAAACAGACTTGAAGTCAGATAGCTCTGCCACTTATTTGTCAAGGGACCTTGCATAATACACCCACTAGGCCTCAGTTTCCTAATCTATATAATGGAAATATAAACACCTACTTCAGGGAGTTGTTGTGGGCTAGAAAAGGCAATGTATGTGACGTGCCTGTGAAACACAGCAGGCACTCAAAAAGACCCTGATACTGGGAAAGATTGAAGGCAGGAGAAGGGGACGACAGAGGATGAGATGGTTGGATGGCATCACCAACTCAATGGACATGAGTTTGGGTAAACTCCGGGAGTTGGTGATAGACAGGAAGGCCTGGTGTGCTGCGGTTCATGGGGTCTCAAAGAGTCGGACACAACAGAGCAACTGAACTGAACTGAACCTGCCCCTGACAAAATGCTATGAAAGGATTCAGTAGCTCCAATTAAAGGTATAACATCTAGGTATTTTCATAATTCAGCACTGGGACATTAATGTAACATTTCTTAAACTCTAGTTAGTTGCAAGACTTTTCCTTTGTCCCTCTAGAGCAGAGTTACTAGCTTAGAACAGTTCTGAGACTCCCAAATGTCAGGAAGGCTACAATATTTTCTGAGAGGAGAAGGACTGTGTCAATCCATGAAAGCTTTCTCTTTCCTCTGAATATGCTCCAAATTTCTCCATGGGACTTCTCTGAACTACTATGAGCTAACTGCCCCACTCCATTATCTGGTTTCTGAGAGTTTAAAGCCTGCCCTGCTTGCTGCCTTTTATATATCAGAGATGCAGAACAGCTTGTATTTATTTCTCTGTATCTTCCATTGTATTGCAAATTCATGTGGTTAGAACAGTGTCTTCCTCACTACATTAGGGTTCACCTCAAATATCCATTTTCTAACTTCAATAGTGTCACAAAATTTTCTACTAGATGAGTTCTCTTAAAATCAGTTTTTAAGGGGAATTCCCTGGAGGTCCAGTGGTTAAGACTCAAAGGCCCAGGTTCGATCTTTGGTCGGGTAACTAAGATCTCACAAGCCTCAAGGCATGATCAAAAATAATTTTAAAAAATTTTTAAATTAGTTTTAGGGTTTTTTTTTTCTTTTCAAGGTCTGAAATATTACCATGTAGGTAGAGTAGGCATAGATATTTTTTTATTGATCTATACATGCACCTGTATTGGGCTTCCCTGGTGGCTCAGATGGTAAAGAATCTGCCTGCAATGCAAGAGACCCAGGTTCAATCCCTGGGTGGGGAAGATCCCTGGAGGAGGAAATGTCAACACACTCAAGCAATCTTGCCTGTAGAATCCCGTGGACTGAGGAGCCTGGCAGGCTACGCGGCCCATGGAACCACAAAGAGTTGGCCGAGACCCAGCAATTTACAGTTGCACTTTCACTTGCCTCAGCAGACGGTAGCACAGAATACCAGGCCCCTTATTAAAATAAAAGTGAATCCTTCAAATCTTAACACCAGAAGGGAAATCTAGAGGGTATCTGATCTAAAGCAGCACCAAGGCCTCCTCAGCATCATTTCCTGTGCCACCACCAGGACGGTCCCATGGTGCACTGCTCTCCCTTTAAACTCCTCTCTTGGGTCCAGGCTAATCACCCATACAGTCCTCTCCTCTCTATGTTCCAGAAATGTTGAATTTCTTGTCGCTGTTGTTCAGTCCCTCAGTTGTATTAAGACTCTTTTGTGACCTAATGGACGGTGAAGCCTGTCATTCCTTTTCCTGAATTTCTTACAAACAGCCCTAAACCGTCCTGCTCACTTCATCATATATGCATCCACGTGTCCCTTTTCACAGCATATTTTAATTGCCTGTCTTTTTCTCTATATAGAGAAAATTGGATGGTAAGCCCTGTGAGGACAAGAACTGTCCTATTCATTATCCCATTCCTGCTCCAGGCATATAGTAGGCTTTCAATAACTATCTGTTTAAAGGAATGACATCCTTTTGGCAAGATTTCAGAAACACTTGACTAAAGAGTAAACAGAAAACAAATGGGAAGGGATTAAAATAAAAGAAACAGCCAGGAAAACAGAGATTTGCCATCCTGGTTTGGTCTCTGGGAGCTGGGGCCTTGCCTCACCCACCTTTAGACTGGGCATATCCACCTTGCCTTCCTAGTCCAAGCAGCAAGGCTCCACAGGCCTCTTTTTCTCAGGGAGGAGGCTGCCCTCACCACCCCCAGCCCTCCACACACAGCTCAGGCTCTCCGGCTCCTTGCCAGGCCTCCCTGCTGGCCTCCGGGTAGGCCTCCCGGTAGGCCTCCCACTCGCGTCAGGCCAGTGTGGCAGGGAAGCCCACCTCCCCACACAGTGCCAGCCAGCGCGGGACCTGCCCCGCAGGCCCGGCATCGTGTGGGACACACAAGGCCCCAAGAAGGAGGCACAGACCTAACAGGGGGCGAAGCGTGAACAGGCCGGTGGCCAGCTCACGTGAGGTTAAAGAGGAACGGCTCAAATTCACTTCTACAGGCAAAAATACCTAGAGGATCCTAAGAAAGCAGACGGCCTGGAGCTCACCGCAGCTCTGGGAAACTTGGGTCATTCTTTTTTGGTGGAAGCAGAAACCTGACTCTGAACTAACCCCTGCCCAGAGGCCGCTGGGGCCTGGAAATACCCCTGTGAATTCTCCGCGTCTAGGCCGGGGCCTGGGGGTTCCCTGCTGTCCGGCCATCTGCAGGGGCCTCCCTGAGGGCCAGGTCGGCCGCGACTGGACGACCTGCGGCCAGACTGCGGCCCGCAACCCGAAAGCGAAGGCCGCCGCGTCGCCCGGGCCGGGAGCGCCTCGGGCTCGCTTGGGCCAGGCCCGGCGTGGCCGCTGCAAGCTCCGAGGCTCCTGCGATCCTCACCCCGAGCGCCTCCGCTGACCCTCCGAACCCGCGGGAACAGAGAGCGCCTCCCCACCCCTCTTTCCCCTCCCCTCAAGACTGGCCTGCGCCTCGAAGCTCGAGAAGCGGTTCGCCCTGCGCGCCTCTCACTCCAGGCCGAGCTGGGAAGCGCCTCTGACTTCGCCGCGGCGCCGGAGCCCGCATGGGCTGCCCTCGGCCGCAGCTGCTCTGTGGCCCCGGCTCCGCGCGCGACGCCGACCCCGCTGCCCCGCGCCCCTCAGTGCGAGGCCCGGCCGGGACCCCGGGGGCCCTGGCCCGCCCGACCCCTGACCCTCCAAACCAGAGAGCCCTAGAGTTATTCCGGGCCGCGGGGGTGGTGGAGCATGGGGGCTCCATTCACGTCTCGGTTTGCAACAGTAAGGACCTGTCCACCCCAGCGAAGGCCAGCCAGTGACCCCGCCGGCCCTTCAGGCGCGGCGTCCAGTTTGCGCGAAGTCCAGTGACCACAAACTGCTACGCTCTGGGAAGGATTTTGAGTGGGAGCGGGGCTGAGCCCCAGACAGCAGCTCCGGGCCGGACTACAAATTTATATTTTATCCGATCTGACCTGGATCCGTGACTCTGAACTTAACGTGACCTCGGCGGCCCGCCTTGGGCTCTGCACGAGCGGGAACCTCGGTGCAGGGGAGGGGCTTGCAGACCACTAGGGCAAGTCGGGGAGGTATTTGTATGGTGGGCTTCCGGACGGGGTATTTTTCTAGAACGAGATATATAGATCTCAAAAGTAAAGACCTGGTCCGAAGCACGACCGCGCCCCTAGGTCTCTCCACAGATCGCCCCGAGCGCTTGTCTGAAGAGGAGACTGGTGCCCCAAGTTTTCCTCCCGCGCAACGCGCTGAACTTGGGCGCAGCGCTGGAGAAGCGCACCACGCGCTCACCTCGGCGCGAGCCACGGACCAATTCGGCGCCCGGGCTCTCCGGCTCCGCCGACGGGGTAGCCCGGCTCCAGGAGGCTGAGACCTGCCGCAGACACCGAGGTCACCCGTCGTGACCCGCCTCGTCGTCATGTAGGAGAAAGGGCCAAAGGTCTGCTCGGGACACTTTTAAAAATACTTAACAATTTGAAAGAGGAGCCTGAAAGCGGAGACGAACGTGCGGGAATTCTCTGTTGTTTAAAGAGCAGTGCAAACTTGCTAGGAAACTCACTACGACGTGACTGTTTACTCCGGGCGAATGGGCCCCAAAGAAAATATGCCCGAACCAGATGACCGGGCGAGATCCCCAACGCCAGCCGCTCCTCCCGAGTCCGACACCCGGGAGGGACGTGTGGGCAGGTGGGTTTCCTCCGCCCGTGAGTGCTACAGCCTCCTTCTCTATTTTTCTCATTTTACTTTTTTAAATTGAAAAGAGAGAGAGCACAAGTCTTAAAAGTGGATAGCCGAGTAGCGTCCGGTAAAATTTGCGCTATGAAAAATATGAGGTCGAGATAGATCAGTGTGTGGGTGAAGGCTGCTCTAGCAGAAACGCGAGAAATGAGCAGGAGCCCACAATTTTCGTTTTTACTGTAGAAATCGGTAAACGAAATCGAATGGTAATGGCTTGCCTATTACGGCCACTGAGAAAGTTTGAAATATTTTAATGTTTCGGATTTATGTGTATGTAATCACTATACTTTTTATTTTGTCTAGCTATTTCCATTAAGTTTTAATAAGCTGTTAAAGTTCCCTGGATAAATTTTGTGAGGTTTTTTTTTTTTTCTTCTTTTGAGTGGAGATTACATGAACCAGAAGCGAAGTTTGAGCATAATTTCCTTAGCCACTGGGAAGTCTGTATCTCCTGCCAAAATTTCCAAGCATATGGAGAAAAAAAGAAGACGAAATACTCATTGAGTACCTACTATGCGCAAACACCCTGGTAGGGCTGGCTTTACAAATTTTATTTCATAGTAATAATTGTTGATCAATAGGTGCTCTTTTTAAATAGACCAAACCGTTTCTTCTGCATCCAAGACCTCAAGTGGACAGCTTCCATAATTTTATTTTATTCGCAAGAATTTCGTTTTTATTACTTCCTTCTTCGAAGTGACATTATTGCCAAGATTAATGGAAAGATCCATGTTTAATGATATTAAAGTCTGTTGGTTTAACTGATTACATCGTTTAGTGCTAATCCTGTGGTGGGGGGGGGGCGGGTGGGCAGCATAGGTGAGTCAGCACTCGCCGAATTTCTCCTAACTCTTTAGGTCCGTGTAAAAATAAAGAAATCTTTATTATGTTTGGCAAGAGAGGGAACTTGTAACTAGGAAGAGAGCGCTGTCACTGAAAGCAATGGGGGGTGGGGGTGGGGGGGTGGGGGGAGTGGGGAGGGAAACATGCAAACCAACACTTTTCCGTCTCTGTGGATCAAAGGAACCGAAAACACGACTGGTTTTGTAAGGACTACGCAAACACTGTGGCTTATACTGACCACTGACAGAGGCTGAGTTAGACTAGAGGCTTCGTGTGTTACAAAGGATACGATGAAGTTGAGTATCCGGAGCTTTAGAAAAAAGAGAGAGAGAGAGAACACCGAGTTAACAACCAGATGAAGTGGGAAAGAAGGGGAGGAGAATACACCCAGGAGCCTGAGCAGGCAGGTAAATCATCAAAAATTCAGTTCCTGCAACTAATGAAAAAACCAATCTCACTGTAGTCCAGGGGAAACAGTTCGCTGACGCAAGGCTCGATGGTGAGTCTATTTGTCGTGCTTCTTTTCCGGACTATCAAAAAAAGTTATTTCGAGATTCAGCCAAATGTTTTGACTGGGAGACTGAAAACGGGACGAGGCGTTTCCTGCCGTTACGTCCGAGCCCGCAGCGGGGCCCAGCGCCGAGCGCGCCCGGAGCTGCGCGCCTGCCGCCCGGGGCGGCTCAGAAAGGACGCTCCCCGCTGCCCTGGGAAGAAGCGAGCCCGAAGTCAGCCGGCGGGGGCTGCTCGGCTTCCTCGCGGGGCCTGAACTGCAGCCTTCCTCCGGAGGAAAGCTCCTCTAGTTTTGTTCTGGAAGGGGAAATGGGCTAAGCTCTTGGAGAGATCTCAGGATTCCCAGTCACTGGACAAACCTGGAAACTCTGGGAAGTACTATACTGAGTTTCTCCGGTTCCCTGAGTCCTTTTCTTTCTTCGTTTCTAGGGCTAAAGGGCCGCTTGCCGAGGAGGGGTGCTTCTTTAGTTTTTTTTTTTTTTTCCACGTAGACTGGAGACGCGCCGCCGCCCGCTCCGAAGGCGACTTGCCGACCTCAGCGCCCTGGGCTCGCGCGGCGCACCGCCCGCCCCTTCGCGCCCGCCCGGCCCCGCTCGCGGAGTGCGCGCGAGGGGGGAGTATCGTCTCCTCGGGCCGGAGCTCGGTGCCAGGACGCTTTCCTGACATAACCCGGCCCCAGGGCGGGCCAAGTCGGGCACTAACCATTGCTTGGCTTCCCTGCTGCCGCTCGGGTCCCCACTACGACCGGCAACTGCCTTGAAACCCACCCCCAATGGCAGACACTCTGGCCTCACACCTCCCCTTGGTCCCCGCTTTCCCGGCCCTTTCCGGGGATCTCACACCCTCACCCCACTTCTCCCGCCCGTCGGGGCCGAACACTGGCACCTCTCCTCGCGCGCAGTCCGCCGCGCCATTTTAACCCCTTCGACGTTTCCGCAGCGGAGGGGGCGGAAACGGAGGAGACCCAACTCCCCACCTCACCCCACCCCCGCCCCACCCGCGCGGGCCCTCGCCTAAGGCAGCCCGGAGGGGATTGTGAAACAACCCGGTGGCGGGCGGGGGTGGGGGACACGCTACCTCCGGGCTCTCCAAACTTTGGCAAAATCTCGGGAACACTGGTGCTCCCCCAGGACAGTTTTCTTCGCCTCGCGGCGAGCGCGGGGTATCCGAGTTTCTCGGCACTAACGGCAAAGAGCCTCTCCCTTTCCCCAGCCCCTTTAAGGACATCTGATCTTCAGTCTCTTAACTTTCTCCTCGGGTCTAACAGCTTCATCAGCCGCGGAGAGCGACCCCAGGCGAAGCCGGAAAGGGAGAAAGCTAGAATGTGGGGTTCACCCAAACCCGGGCGCCCAGAGGTTGGCTGAGGCCGTGCGGGTCGAGGCCCCGCGCGCTCTTGAGCAGGAGGGAGCCCCGGGGGATCTGCGCGGGGCACGTTGCCGCGCCTGAAACAGGCGTTCCCTTTTCCAGATCATATTCCCCATAAAATCTAAAGCCAGATACATCGCTTGGGCAAGTTCCCATTTCACCGCGAAAAGCACAGAGTTGTTTCCAAACTGGACTCCAAATCGAGGTTTCTGGTGCGGGTTCCAGTGGCCTGCGCAAGGTTGCGGTTTCGATGCCTCAAGGGACTGCCCGGGCGGGTAACATTTTAGATAACTATAGTCTTAATCTAGCCCAGGCAAAGCATCATTTGCGAATGCGGAGATTTAATTTAAAAAAAAGGGGGGGGGGTGCGAAGTAAAGACAACTACGGGCTTTCAAAGCTGTGTGTGTACTTTTTAAGTGAGGTGGAGGAGAAAAGATCAATTTCATCTTGATGGAATCTCTGTTTCACAGAAATAAGTTACAAGGGCGGGAAACTTGCAAGAAAGTGAGAACAGTGGCCACATATGAAACCAAAGGGCGAGCATGGTGAAAGCAGGCATTCTAATCACTGTTGAGTCAAAAAAAAATGGCTTTTGCTGAGGTTGCTTTTTTTTTTTTTTTTTAAAGAAATAGACTCCTTCCCAAAGTAATAGCCTACGGGTCTATTTCACCTGCAGGTTTCCTCTCATTATTGCATAAAGAAATTTGGGTGGAGTGGGCCATGTTTTTCACAGAACTTTCTGGTATTTGCAGCTGTGGTGAACAGGGAAGGAATAAAAATGAACAGAATTAGTCTGGGATTGACTACCCCCTGTTACCGGCATAACATCAGCAGGAAATCAAGACTGCCTTCGCGAGGTTCACTTATAAGAATTCAATTTTGCAACTTTTAAAATTATAGCCGTTTTTGAGTCCTTTTGGTGAAATGAATAACCAGCGATGCAGTACCTAAACAGTGCACACAAGCACACAATTCCAAGTCTACTTATTTACGGAGTGAAAAGGTGCGCTGCCAAAGCGCCCCTGCACGGTTTGAGGTGTCACGGCTGTGGGCTGCGCCGAGCATTAGGTGCCAGTGAGAGAAAGCACAGACCCAAACTACTCGCACAGAAAACTCTTTACACGTTTGACTCATTTAGGATCAAATGGTATTTTTAACACTTGCCAAAGCCCACAGCTATTGCGACAAGAAAGGTGGCAGGCAAGAATGAAGTTAGTTGTTTATTAGGGCAAGGTGGGTCTTTTCGCGCTTTTGGCTACATAAGTGTACCCAAGTGACAGGGACAAATGTATCCGAGTGACAGGGCGAGCATCTTGCAGGCCAGTCTCCCTGTTTTGGTTCACTGCAAGGGAAGGTGGGGGGAACAGGACGCCTTTTAGCAGATCAGACTCTGGCTGTCACCTGTGAGGGGTGGTAGTGGGGGGTGGTTAACTTCACTTCGTAAAGATACTCATCCTCCTCTTAACTGAAGAAGTCTGAGGCCGCGAAGGCCGCCCACAGAGGCCGCTCCTTGTCCAAATCTGCTCAGGCCGCCTTTGTCCCCGCAGAGACTACCGAGAGGGAGGGGGGCGGGCGCGGAGGTCGTGACCAAAGTTTCCTGAAGTCTTTATACGGCGAAGAACTCTAGGTTTTGCGGGTAAGCAGGCTGCCTATCCAATCTGAATGGAGTGACAATTCCGTGGGCCTCCGGCCCCCGGCGGCCTCCGCGCGCCCTCTCCCGCCCCGGCCTCTCCCCCGGATGAGTCGCCGGGGGCCAACGCTCGCCTCCGCGCCACACTCCTGGGCCCCTGGGTCCCCTCCGCACCGTCCCAATCAGTCTCGAATTTCAACTCAAGACCCAGGCCAAACTTTCCCTTTGGGGCTGGTATATTCTCACACGCGGACGCCTTTCCCAGGGGAGGAGGAGCGATGGCGCTTCGGGCAGCTCCCGGGGGCCCTGCGAGGACCACCCGCCACCCGGTTTCCACGCAGCCCCTGCGCCCACCCTTGCCTCCCGACCCCAGACCTTGACCTCCCACGGCCGTGCTCAGGGAAGCCGCCGCGACTGATGCGCCCCGGGTGCTTTCGTTTTGCTTTCGCTCCCTTCTCTCCGCAGCTGGAACGACTGCGGAAGAACAAAATGGGGGTGGAAAACGCGTGTCCTGACAAAAGTGATGGGAACACCGCGGTTCGGTCCCAAGCTGGGCGGGGAGAGCGGGAGGCTCAGCTGAGGCCTGGGTACCCCTGTCCCTTGCATGGGCGAAAAGGGCCAGGAGGCCCTGGGTTGTTTTTTTCGTGTAAAGAAACGTGATTTGTAGATACTGAAGCAACAAAGTTGGCGCGGAAACGAATTCGCCTGCTTAGGAGGGCTCTGTCTTGCAGATACAGACGAACAGGCAGAGTAGAAAGGCCGGAAGAGGGGCGGCCGGAGCCTTTCACTAAATTGGAAGGAAAATAAGAAAAAAGGTTCGCGAGCCGGGATCCGGCTCCCACCCCAGGCTCTGAGTACCATCAGGTGTGAGGGGTGACCAACGCCCAGTCCCATTTGCTGCTCGTCCACTCAGCTCTGCTCTTGGGGAAAACCCAGCAACCACTGCACAGGCTCGCTTCACTTTATCTCGCCTCTCTCTCTATGGTGAGCAAAGCACATGTATCCTATACTGATGAACTCATGGCCTAAGGTCTCCCCCTTTAAAAAAAAAAAAAGCCAAACCTGGAAAGGTTTACTCAAATAGAAGCAAACTTGTTGCTGCCCCGAGTGGCCCGTGCGAAAGCTCTCCTAGGTTTGCATGCGCCCAGCGCAGGGCCAGGAAACGCCGCTCCCGGGCAAGGGCCGGGGCAGAGTCCCGCCCTCCTCCCCCGGCGGCCTGCACTTGAGCCCGAACGAGGGTGAGTGCAAGGGAACAGTCTCTCCAAACTCCTTAGAAAATAACTCTTGCAGACTGTTTACCACACTGTCCAGCTGCCCGGAAAGGTCCGACGCGTTTCCTGCACTCGTCCCAGCTCAGTTCGAACTTTACTCCACCCGTGATCTGAAGGGCTAAATTATTTTTATTCCGACTCTGGAAAGTTAAACTAAGATCTAAATAAATCACTATGGTAAATGACCGGAAGCTGCGAAGGTAAATTACACTCAAACCAGCTACTTGCACTTGGGTGTGTGTGTGTGTGTGTGTGTGTTTTAAATAAGGCCTTCCTCTAGTATTGACCGCCCTCCTTGTTTACATCGAGCTCAGGAACAGAAGCTTTAGGCCAGCAAGGGAGCTCAGTTTCATTTCGGGGCGTATGGCGGGGCCTATCACTTCGTCATCAGGTTTGAGAAAAGAGTTCGAATGTTTTTTGTCACAGATTTAACTTCCAGTAACTCCTCAGAAACTCCAGTACCCCCACGGCGGCTCAGGTCTGCAAAACTCCTCGGTCCGCAGATGTCCGGGAGGCAGTAAGTGAGCTCGCGCGACGCCCGGCTGCACCTGCGGAGGAGGCAGGGCGTCTCCGAGCGTCTCGAACGGTCGCACCGTACTTCCCGCGCTCCGCCCGCCAGCCTTCGGGCGGCCGCCAACCACCCCGGCGTCCCTTGGTCCCCCGCCCACAGCCGATCGTGCGGGGTGGGGGGGAGGGGGACTGGCGTCCCCTCGTCTGGGGAAGCGGCCGCGCGAGGGCCCAGTCCGGCCCCCGGCTCGCAGCGAGGCCCGAACGCGCGCACACTCGGCGACCAGGGCGGTGGCGCTCCCGAGATCCGGCGGGGGGTGGGGGGGGGGCGGTTTGAGGAGGGCGGAAGCGCGGATGGCTGGCGAGCACTCTCGAGAGTCGCGGGCCCCGGGTGACTAGGGTGCGGGTGCCCACGCTGTGCGCGATGCCTGGGCCACTGGCTGGAGCCCACGATCCGGGCGCACAGCTGAGCGAGGCGGCCGCCGCCACGGAGCCTGGCGGGCGGCGCGGAGCCCCGGGGAGCTGGTTTTCCCGGGCGGGCACGTGACGGGGTTGGCAGCGCTCTGGCCCGGGCAGGGAGGAGGGGGAGGCGGCGAGCGGGAGGCCGGGGGCGGGCGGGCGGCTGGCGCGCTGTGTACTTAGGTCGTGTGCTGGGGCTTTTCTCTCCCAGGAGCCGGCTGGAGGAGGGGAGGGGGGAGGGGCCACCGCTCCGCCTTCTCCTTTTCGCAATGTTGACGCAATCTATAAATAGTGGAACAAAAGGACCAACTTCCTCGGAGCTTTGCTGAAACTGCACAAAAAAATCGAGCTGGGGGGTTCCCTGGTCCCTGGCGATGGGGCGGGGAGCGCGGCGCCCGGGGGAGGGGGCGGGCGCGGCCGCGCGGGCCCCGCCGAGGGGGGACACCTGGCTGAGGCATTGCCGCCGCCGCCGCCGCGCCTCTCCGCGCGAACCCAGGGCTCCGGTCCCTGCGCGGGCTCGAGAGCTC